AAAAGAATGAAAAGGGGTTAAGGAAAATGCAGGAGAACATGAAATGGAATAATATCCATATAATAGGGACACCAGCAGGATAAAAAGAGGAGCAAGGAACATATAACCTGTTTGAAAAAGTAATGATGGAAAACCTCCCTAATTTGATGAGAGAAAAAGTCATGCAAATCCAGGAAACACAGAGAGTCCCAATCAAGAGGAACCCAAAGAGGCCCACTTCAAGACACATCATAATTAAAATGGCAAACTTCCAAGTGAAAGAGAGAATCTTAAAGACACCATGGGAGAAACAAGAAGTAACATACAAGGGATCCCCAGTAAGGCTAGCAGCTGGCTTCTCAGCAAAAATATTACAAATCAGAAGAGAATGGCAAGACATATTCCAAGTAATGAAAAGCAAAGACCTGGAACTGAGATTACTCTATCTAGCAAGGTTCTCAATTAAAATGGAAATTGAAAAAGGGAGCTTCCTACACAAAAGAAGGCTAAAAGAATACACCTTCACTAAACCAGCATTGCAAGATATGTTAAACAGACTGCTTCAAGAAGGGGAAGAAAAACAGTGAGAGAGAAGGGAACAGAAGTACAAAGGGAGTAAAATGGCAATGAATAAGTACCTATCAACAATAACCTTAAATGTGAATAGGTTAAATGCTCCAATCAAAATACATAGGGTAGCAGAATGAATAAGAAAACATGACCCACACATATGCTGTTCTAAGGTGGGTCTTTTGTTCTAAGAGACCCACCTTAGAACAAAAGAGCTACACAGACCAAAATCTAAGGGTTTGAAAAAAATATTCTAAGCAAATGGACAGGAAAAAAAAGCCAGGGTAGCAATATTATATCTGACAAAATATACTTCAAAACAAAAGCCATAAAAAAAGAAACAGAAGGACACTTCATATTATTCAAAGGAAGAATCCATCAGAAAGACATAAATATTGTAAATTTATATGCACCCAACATAGAAGCACCCAAATATATAAGGAAATTCTTGGAGGACTTCAAGAAAGGTATAGACAGCAACACAATTACAGTAGGGGATTTTAACACCCAACTGTCAACAATGGATAGATCATCCAAACAAAATGTCAACAAGGATATTATGAAACTGAGTGATGTATCAGATCAAATGGACTTAACTGCTATATGTAAAAACTTTTATCCCAAAGAAGCAAAATACACATCCTTTTCAAATACATATGGAACATTTTCAAAGATAGACTACATGATAGAGCAAAACAAGCCTCAACAAATTCAAAATAATTGAAATCATACCAAGCATTTTCTCAGACCACAAGGGCTTGAAACTAGAAACCAACCTCAAAAAATATATACAAGAATATTCAAACTCATGGAAACCAAATAGCCTGTGATTAAACAATGAATGGTTTAATAATGATATCAAGGAAGAAATCAAAAAGTTTCTGGAAACAAGTGAAAATGAACACACAACAGTCCAAAACCTATGGGACACAGCAAAGGCAGTCTTGAGAGGGAAGTTCATAGCAATACAGGCCTACCTAAACAAAATAGAAACATTTCAATCCCACCAACAGTGAACTAGGGTCCTGTTTTCCCCACATTTGTTGTTTGTTGCTTTGTTTATGATAGCCATCCTGACTGGTGTAAAGTGGTATCTCCTTGTGGTTTTAATTTGCATCTCTCTGATGGCTAGTGATATTGAGCATCTTCGGTGTAAAGTGGTATCTCATTGTGGTTTTAATTTGCATCTCTCTGATGGCTAGTGATATTGAGCATCTTCGGTGTAAAGTGGTATCTCATTGTGGTTTTAATTTGCATCTCTCTGATGGCTTGTGATATTGAGCATCTTTTCATGTGTCTCTGGATCTTCTGTATATCCTCCTTGGAGAAGTGTCTGTTCAAGTCCTTTGCCCATTTTTTAATTGGGTTAGTTGTCTTCTTAGAATGCAGTTGTGTGAGTTCTTTGTATATTTTGGAGATTAAACCTTTGTCTGAGGTATCATTAGCAAATATGTTTTCCCATACAGTTGGATCTCTTCTTATTTTAATACTGTCTTCTCTAGCCGTGCAAAGGTTTTAATTTTGATGAGATTCCATTTGTTTATTCTTTCCTTTATATTCCTTGCTCTAGGGGAGATATCAGTAAATATGTTGCTGTGTGAAATATCTGAGATTTTCCTGCCTATGTCCTCCTCTAGGACTTTAATGGTTTCATGGCTTATATTTAAGTCTTTTATCCACCTTGAATTTATTTTGGTGTATGGTGTAAGTCGGTGCTCAAGTTTCATTTTTTTGCACGTAGCTGTCCAGTTCTCCCAACACCATTTGTTGAAGAGGCTATCTTTACTCCATTTTATGTTACTGCCCCCTTTGTGGAATATTAACTGACTGTAGAGAGTTGGGTTGATTTCTGGGCCCTCTGTTCTGTTCCATTGGTCTATGTGCCTGTTTTTATGCCAGTACCAGGCTGTTTTGATTACACTGGTCTTGTAGACTGGTACAACCATTATGGAAAACAGTATGGAATTTTCTCAGAAAAATAAAAATCGACCTGCCTTTTGACCCAGCAATTCCACTGCTAGGATTATATCCTAAGAACCCTAAAACACAAATCTCAAAGAACCTATGCACCACAACGTTCATAGCAGCACAATTTACAATAGCCAAGAGTTGGAAGCAACCTAGGTGCCCATCAGTAAATGAATGGATCAAAAAATTATGGTACATATACACAATGGAATTCTATGCAGCAGAGAGAAAGAAAGAGCTACTACCCTTTGCAACAGCATGGATGGAACTGGAAAGCATTATGCTGAGTGAAATAAGCCAAGTGTTAAAAGACAAATACCATATGATCTCACCTTTAAGAGGAAGCTAAACAATAAAACAAACAAGCAAGCAAAATAAAAACAAAGACACAGGGGGACAGTGACCAGAAGGGAGAGGGGAGGGAATTAAGGGAAGAAAGGGGAGGGATTTAGAGGAACAAGTATAAAGTACACAGGGACAATAACTAAGGGGGGTGGAAATGGGAGGGAGGTGGGGGGCTGGGATGGGAGAAATAGACAGAAAGCTGTACTTGAAAAATAATTAAATAAAATTAAAAATAAAAAAATAGAAACATTTCAAATAAACAACCTAATCCTACAGCTACCAGAATTGGAGGAAAAACAACAAAGAAAGCCCAGAGCAAGTAGAAAGAAGGAAAAATCAAGATAAGAGCAGAATTACATGACATAGAGACTAAAAGAACAATTCGAAGGATCAAGAAATCCAGGAACTGGTTCTTTGAAAAGATATACAAAATCAACAGGCCTTTAACCAGATTCATCAAGAAAAAAAGAGAGAGGACCCAAGTAAATAAAATCAGAAATGAAAGAGGAGAAGTTACAATTGAAACCACAGAAATACAAAGGACTGTAAGAAACTACTATGAACAATTATATGCCCAGAAATTTGAAAATCAGGGTAAAATGCACAAATTTCTAGAAAAATACAATCTTCCAAAACTGAACCAAGCAACAGAAAGCCTAAATAGACGAATAATAGCTGGTGAAGCTGAAGCAGTAATAAAAAAACTCTTGGCACATAAAAGCCCTGGAATGGATAGTTTCACAGGAGAATTTTACAAAACATTTAAGGAAGAGCTAACACCGATACTTCTCAGACTATTCAAAAAAAATCCAAGAAGAGGGAATACTATCAAACTCTTTTTATGAGGCCAGCATCATCCCAATCCCAAACTAGACAAAGACACAACAAAGGAAGAAAACTATAGGCCAATGTCACTGATAAACACAGATGCTAAAATCCTCAACAAAGTACTATTGAGGATCATGGCAACCATGATCAAGTGGGATTCATCCCAGGGATGCAAAGATTGCATAATATTCACAATTAATCAATGTAATACATCATTTAAACAAAAGACAAAAATCACATGATTATATCAATAGATGTGGAAAAAGCATTTGATAAGGTACAACACTCATTTATGATAAAAATACTCAGCAAAGTGTAAGTAGAGGGAGCATACCTCAAAATAATAAAAGCAATATATGAAAAACCTACAACTAATATAATACTCAACAAAAACTAAAAGCTTTCCCATTAAGATCAGGAGCAAGACAAGGATGTCCACTTTCATCACTTCTATTCAACATAGTATTGGAAGTCCTAGCCACAGCAATCAGATAAGAAAAAGAAATAAAAGACATCCAAATTGGAAAGGAGGATGTAAAACCGTCATTGTTTGCAGATGATATGATAGTGTACATAAACAACCCTATAAACTCCACCAAAAAACTACACAACATAATAAGGGAATTTGGCAAAACAGTGGGATACAAAATCCATATTCAGAAATCAAAGGCATTTTTGTACACTGACAATGAAATATCAGAAACAGAAATGAGGGGGAAAATACCATTTCCTATAGTAACAAGAAAAATAATGCACATAGGGATAATCCTAACCAAGGAGGTAAGAGACCTGTACTCAGAAATACACAACAATGAAGAAGGAAATTAAGGAAGACAGAAATAAATGGAAGCATATACCACGTTCATAGACTGGAAGAAGCAACATCATCAAAATGTGCATACTACCCAAAGCCATCCCCAGGGACAGACTCTTTAATCTCTTTTTTTCCTTTGGTAACAACTGGCTTCTGGAGCATTGATTTTTCCTAACATTCCATCTATGCCCACAAATGGTCAGACTGATAGTTTCTTCCCAGCTAGAATGAGTAATCCCTCTTCTGAAATTTTTACTTGCCTCTACTGTAGCTCAACCACATAACATTGTAACAATTTGTTTATGCATTTATATATAACTCACACCAGATTGAGTTATTTGGGTCCTGGCACTAGTCTCATGCTCTCACTATCCACCAGAGTGACTGTCATGTACTATCTCTAGAGCCTGTAAAAGCAGGAGTTCAATAAATGTTAAATAAAGACAGACATGTGCAGATATCAAAGAAAGTGCACCTAAATATCATTTGTACTTACAACATAATTGAAGGATGTATCAGCAAGCACTGCAAACTGACGAAACAATGTGTGCCTGGTAAACATCTCATTCTTAAGGGCATGAAAGCTGAAATAAAAGCAATTGTAAAATTTGAATGTATAGAAATCATAGGATAGAGCAAATCAGTATGATGCTCATATGGTTAAGAACTAGAATTTTCAGTGTAAGAGAAAAAACAAGTAAACACTTTAAAATATGAATATGAACTTGTTTCTTCTTTCATTTTTAAAATTACATATTTTTCAGCCCTGAAGGGCACAGGAACAATGGCAACATGGTATCAATGAGCACCCCAAGGGCTGAGACTATGGTTTAAAGACATTTCTCCATGAAATGAACCAGGACATCTTTCAGAAATGGCTGTTTCTAGAACTAAAGCAATAAATTTACAAGATAAGCCTAGGACATTCTATTGTTAAGGTAGTCATCAAAGATTATGTCAAAAGTACACTATTCAACTTTAATGAGCCCCAATTAACTTTAAGATTGGAGAAATTAAGCATCAAAAATAATGATTACAATATATCAAAGCACAACAAATACATGAAAAATTGGGGAAATTCTCAAATCTATCTATATTGCAAATAATGCTAAAATTAGGAGATTCACTCTCAGGAAAGCATGTTTTGCAGAGAAAGCCAAGAGTATGCTGGTCAACCTTTGTTTAGCAAGTAGGAAGAAACAAAACAATTATAGCATTCAGTCACAGAGGTGGCTCTAAGGCGAGATTAGATGTATGTTTCATGGATCAAAACCATAATGAGGTAGCACTACGTAGCTACAAGGGTGACTAAAACCAAAAAGCTGATAATTTCCTGCTCACCAGGCTGTCTGACAATGCCTCAGTGAACTTTTTCACCTTTCATGGGCCACAGGTATACCTGTAAGAGGCCTGAATCTCAGCCTTTTGGAGAGAACACTTCTTCAGCCCTAGAGGTAGAAGCTGCTTCATACATTATGTTACTCCTCTAGTCCTGAAGTTCTCTTTACTTCCTTCAATAGTTAACCACCTTTTATTAGTTAATATTTCTTTTTTAAAATATATTTTATTGATTATGCTATTAAATTTGTCCCAATTTTCCCCTTTGTCCCCCTCCACCAAGCACCCCCCATTCCCTCTGGCAATACCCCCTCTTAGTTCATGTCATGCATAGGTTCTTTGGCTACTCTATTTCCTATACTGTACTTTACATCCCCATGGCTATTCTACCTATTTGTACTTCTTTATCCCCTCACCTCTTCGCTCATTCACCCATAAATCCCTCTCATCTGGAAACTGTCAGAATGTTCTCCATATACATGATTTTATTTTTGTTTGCTTAGTTTTTTTAAAAAAAATCAGTTGATACAGATGTATTCGTTGCCATTTTATTGTTCATTGTTTGATCTTCTTCTTTTTCTTAAATAAGTCCCTTCAACATTTCATATAGTAATTGTTTGGTGATGATTAACTCCTTTAGTTTTTCCTGTTTGAGAAGCCCTTTATCTGCCCTTTAATTCTAACCAATAGCTTTGCTGGGTAGAGCGATCTTGGCTGTAGGTCCCTGATTTTCATGACTGGATATTTCTTGCCAATCCCCTTTAGCACGCAAAGTTTCTTTTAAGAAATCAGCTGTCTTATGGGAACTCCTTTGTAGGTAACTATCTTCTTTTCTCTTGCTGCTTCTAGGATATTCTCCTTCATTTTAATCTTGGGTAATGTAATTATGATGTGCCTTGGTATGTTCCTTCTTGGGTCCAGCTTCTTTGGGACTCTCTGAGCTTCCTGGACTTCCTGGAAGTCTATTTCCTTTGCCAGATTGGGGAGGTTCTTCCTCATTATTTGTTCAAATAATTTTTCCACTTGTTGCTCTTCCTCTTGTCCTTCTGGTACACCTATAATTTGGATGTAGGAACATTTAAAGATGTCCTGGAGGTTCCTAAGCCTTTTCTCATTTTTTTTTGAATTCTTGTTATTCATTCTTTTTTGATTGGATATTTCTTCCTTCTGGTCCACTCCATTGATTTGAGTCCCAGTTTGCCTCCCATCACTATTGGTTCCCTGTACATTTTATTTTATTTCACTTAGCATAGCCTTCATTTTTCATCTAATTTGCGACCATATTCAACCAATTCTGTGAGCATCCTGATCCCCAGTGCTTTGAGCTGTGCATCTGATAGGTTGGGTATCTCTTCATTGCTTAGTTGTAGTTGTTCTATTGCTTTAATCTGTTCTTTAGTTTGGACCATTTTTTTTTGTCTTGATGCACATATTATATAGGGAGGGGTGGAGCCTTATGTATTCCCCCAGGGCGGGGTAACCCACATTGCTGTGTTCTGACACTCTATGTGGGGGAGGGGGTTGAGAGGGAACAGTGGTGCTTGCTCCACTCTCGCCTGGATTTCAGTCACTTTCCCCACTTCTCACAAGCAAATTCAGTCCTTCTGGTGCTGATTCCCATGTGGGTGGGTTTGTGTATGTTCTATGACTTTGTGGGTCTCTTCGATAAACTCTTCTATAAGACTGGGAGTTTCTTCTGCTACCGCCTCAATCCCCACAGGTGTTTTCAATCAGTGGTTTGAACAGATTTATTTCCCTGTGCTGGGGCCCTGGGTTGCGTGGTCTGTCTCACTCTCCAGGTGTTCCTTCCAGTTTATCTGTGCACAAACGTGAGACCACCCAGTCCGCAATCCAGTGCCCCACTGCTACCTAGCTGGCCAGCTGCAGACTTCCTTGAACACTGCTCCATAATCCACCACCTCACTGGGTCTGCCAGCTGCTGCTGTGCCATGAGTCCTCTCTGCCCAGATGTCTGTCTCCACCCCTCCTACTGGTCTGGATGAATGTATCTTCTTTAACTCCTTGGTTGTCAGACTTCCATACAGTTTGATTTTCTGACAGTTTTCGTTGCTTTTTGTTTTTAAATTATTGCTGTTTGTCCCTTTGGTTGTGCAGGAGGAACAGTGTGTCTACCTACTCCTCCACCTTGGCCAGAAGTCCAAGTATTTTTTAATTTATTATGCTATTACAATTGTTCCATTTTTTCTTGCCTTTACTCCCCTCTGCCCTATACCTCTCCTCCCACCATCATTTCCCCACTTTAGTTTATGTCCATGGGTCACACATATAAGTTCTTTGGATTCTCCATAGAGTAATCTTGGATCTAGCCTTTCATAATTTGGAATACTTATTTCCAGTCCCTTCTTGCCTAGAAGGTTTCTTTTGAGAAATCAGCTGATAGTCTTATGGGAACCCCTTTGTAGATAACTGTCTCTTTTTCTCTTGCTGCTTTTAAGATTCATTCCTTATCTTTAATTTTGGGTAATATCATTATGATGTGTCTTGCTGTGTGCTTCCTTGGGTCCAACTTCCTTGAGACTCTTTGAGCTTCCTGGACTTCCTGGAAGTCTATTTCCTTTGAGAGATTGGGGAAGTTCTCCCTCATTATGTGTTCAAATAACTTTTCAATTTCTTCTCTTCCTCTTCTCCTTCTGGCACCACTATGATTCAGATGTTGGAATGTTTAAAGTTGTCCTGGAGATTCCTAAGCCTCTCCAATTTTTTTTTAAATTCTTATTTTTTCATTCTTTTCTGGTTGAATGTTTATTTCTTCCTTTTGCTCCAAACTGTTGGTTTGATTCCTGGTTTCTTTCTCTACACTGTTGGTTCCCTGTACATTTTCCTTTATTTCACTTTTCCTCTATTTTGTTACCATACTCAACCATTTCTGTGAATATCCAGATTAGTAGTGGTTTGAATTCTGCATTAGATAGGGTAGCTATCTCTTCATTGCTTAGTTGCATTTTTTCTGGAGCTTTGATGTGTTCTTTCATTTGGGCCATATTTTTTGTCTTAGTGTGCCTGTTACATAATAATGGGCAGAGCCTTAGGTATTTGCCTGGGTGGGATAACCCACGTGGCTGCATTATAGTACTGTATGTGGGGGAGGGGTCTGAGAGGGAATAATTCCTTACTAAGTGTTTTTGGCTCCTTTGTCATAATTAATTGACTTTAGGTGTGAGTTTGTTTCTGGGTTCTCTGTTCTTTTCCATTATGTGTCTGTTTTTATGCCAATACCTTTTCTGCTGATACCATATTGTTTTAGTTACTATAGCTTTATACTATAGTTTGAAACCAGGAAGCATGGTGCCTCCAGCTTTGTTCTTTTTTAAGACTGTTTGGGCTATTTACGGTCTTTTGTGGTTCTATACAAATTTTAAAATTGTTTTTTCTATTTCTTTGAAAAATTCCATTAAAATTTTGATAGAGATTGCATTAAATCTCTAGATGGCTCTGGGTAGCATGGACATTTTAAGAATATTAATTCTTCCAATCTATGAGCACAGAGGATTTTTCCACTTATTTGTGTCTTCTTCATTTTCATTCATCAATGTCTTATAATTTTCATTGTACAGATCTTTCACTCTTTTGGTACATTTATTCCTAAAAAGAGAATATTTTATTCTTTTTTGATGCAATTATAAATGAGATTGTTTTTAAATTTGTCTTTCTGAGAGTTCATTGTCAGTGTATAGAAATGTAACTGATTGTTTTATACTGATTTTGTATCCTGGCCCAGAAGGGTGCCTCCAGACAAAATCCTGCAATTAAGGTGGGAGTGGCTGCATTACTGTGGCATTGCCACGTTAGTGATCTATTCCTGGGCTGATGTGCCACAACCATGCACCCTTTATGCTGAGAGAAAAGGCAATGGTGACTTCAGCAGCTGAGTGAAGCATGCCATGATAAGAGGAAAAACTAAGTTCTGCCCTTGTCATCACTGCTTAAGTTCACTCTTTCTGGAAATCATGACAACTCAGCAGGAAAAAAAAAGTTCTGAGAAGAAGCTCTGAATTGGACTGGTACGGACTATAAGTCATGAAATGGCTGAGAAATCATGGGGTTAAACTGTTACCTTGAATGGCTAAGATGAAGTTTTTCTTTTATTAAGTAAAAAATATTGCTCCTGATATATGACCTGTAACTATAAGTGAAATCATCATTTTAGCACACACAAGTCTGCAACTGTACAATTAATCTCCATACCACACCATGACATAGCAGTCTGGATTACACACTCTCTATGTTTTGGGTATATCATCTTGAATTAACACTTGGTGATGCAACCAAGCCAGAGAGACTTAATGCATTATATCCTGACATTATGCTCTTTTAGTCAACTAAATAAAGGAAGGAGGTTAAGGGGTAGAAAAAATTAAGCAAAAAGGAGGAAGGACTCATAGAAATGGACAACAGTGTGATGACTGCAGTGGAGAAGGGGGATTGAGGGAACTAAATGGTAATGGAAAAATACAAAAAAACTTAAAATAAAAGAAAACATAGAGAAAGTGTGTAATACTTACTGGTGTCCTAAATATTTAGCTACCAACATAAAATCTGCAGAGACCAAAATGATGAATATAATTATCAACATCTTGGTTAACAGAACATCAGTTTTAAACAAAAGTAAGACATTCTTGTTGTAAATGTTCATTGAGTATAAGATGAATCACACAGGGACAGATACTAGGTAAATCTTAAGGATGAAAGTAAATCCTACAGAAATCAATAAGGGAAAGACATTCTACTCAGTTTCAGAGATAGCCCACGGTCCACGTGCAAGAAAATAAAATTAAGTGCATATTTAAGCTTTCCTTTGTTCTCAGTCTCTTTCTTTCATCACCTCAATCAACTTCTTGTTTCATCTGTATGCATATGCTATCCTTATAATAACTCTGTGAGGGGTCAGGGAAGCTATTAATATGCACATTTTTCCAGATTACAGAGTAGATAGCACTGGAGTAAAACAAGCAGAAGTGGAAAGAACATTTTACCACAAGAATGAGATCCTTCACTCACCATTTGGTGGTATTTCTGTTATGGAGATAGTCAGTGTGCCCCTTGGGATTATTTTATTGCAATATATACAGCAATGTATATAATTTTATATACACAAATAGTGTATGCTTATGAAACACAGTGAAAATGTAGAGCATTTTCACCCCATAAAGTTAGGTGTGAGCCTAAAGTGTGACCTGGGACATCAGACTAACATTGAATCTATCCTGTCTTGATGCTTGACTGTGAAAAAAATCTTGCAAATAAATTATTAATAATTGATAAAAAAGAATCTACAGGAAATTATGGCAGGAACCAAAATAATAGAATATAGAGTTTTAGTGTTAACATGTTAGGACAAGAAAAAAAAGCATGTTTTTCTTTCTCTCTCTCTCTTTTTTTTTGTTTTTGCTTTAGAACCACCAAAAATTATGGTCTTAGAGATAAATTTTGGTGACAGTAATTTCCACCCTGCTTTTTATATGTTGTAGTCTAGAATAGTCTAAGAGCAAGGGGGCTGAACAAGGAATAGAAGTGAGCCCAAGAACTCCCTCAGAGCTATAGCTTTCATCTCATGTCGGGAGAGGAACCCTGACATCAGCCATGCATGAGCCTGCCCCAGGCCTATGCGCCAGAGTCCTCATGATAGGTTGGTGAACCCTACTGTATGTGATCAAAAGAACTTCCTGGGGACAGAGTGAAGCAGGAACTGTTCAAAATTGACCTTACCAGAACCCCAGGGTATCCTCCAAGGTTAGTGGGGTGTCCACCAACTGGTGGATCTCACGCCTAACCTTGCATTTTTTTCTACTTGGCATTGCTTTCAGGTTTTTCAGAATTTTACAGTGTCACTTTTTCCATTTTTAACTTTCCCCATCTTTGAAAAAAGACAAAGATGACATAGGGAAAATAAATTAAAATAACTATGCAAATGAAAATTACATCTGAGAATTAAAGAGTTGGTATGGTTTTGTCTGAAAAATGGAAAAGGATTTAGTATATCAAGCAATTTGACAAAGAAAATATAGACCAATTAAATATGATTATGTGCAATTGAGCATAAAAACATTTTAACAGGCCTGTGAAGGAAGATGACCATGTAGGCCTGACTAAAGCAGATATCAATGGGCACTGTCTATCCTGTAGAGACTTTAAAAGTGGAAACACTGAGATTAGGAATAAAATAGAGTTTTAAATTAATTTTTCTTTGAAGTGACTTTGACTACTCTTCTATTTTAGGCCAACTAAGTGTTTCTTCTTAAAATTGTATGATTCATTTTATATTACTTACTATGTACAGAAAAATCCCTCCTCATTTCCTTAAAAGATGATTAGTCATTTTTATAACTGGAATTTGTATATATCATACACTATACCTGTTCCTGAGAGTAAAGAATTTCTTTTCCCAGATTTTGCTTATCCGTTCTGACTCCCTTTTATGCCTGTAATAAATTTATAGATGGTTAAGTTTTGTATTAGGTACAAATGAACAGTTATGAATCATTATTTCCAGTACCTTTCTGCCTTTTTTTTCTCATTCTCTAAACTAGCCTTTAATATTTCTATTTGCTTCTCCAAACCACGTTTTTCTTCAGCCTTTCAATAGAAAATACATCACAAAGTTAATTACATGAACAGTACACACTATTTCTCCATAAATCTGAATAGCTATTATAATACATAGCATGCACATTCTAACTATCAAAAATTATTTAAGGGAATAATGAGTTACATTTACTTGCAAATTCCTATGAATTAGAAGAATTTAAAATCCCACATCTTCACTGCCTATAAATGATTCACTGAAAGACAGCCAACTCTACACAACATTATGAAGCAACCAAATTTATCTCTATCAACCCTCTCCCTACCAGGTACCCATTTTTCTAAATTTTGCTTTCCCTTATTTATTGTGACCTCTCCAGCTCTTTATCATAGGCAGCAGTTGCTAGTCTATTTTCTCTTTCTATCAAAACTGTCCTCAAGAAAAGATCTGACCAACTCAATCACATTAGAGCTTTTTATTATTTTTCACTATTATTTACATTTTACAAGGGAAAATGTTTTTGCAAAAGGAATGAATCTCTAACAGGGGAAATGTAGGCATTTCAAGAATGAGAGAGATTTCTTTGAGCATGGCAGGGACATACCCCAGATCATACAATAGAAGCAATCATGTCTTCTGTCTCTTTATAAGACTAATTCTCCATCAAAATCATTGTTACTTTCTAAGAATAGCCAGAATCAGTATGAACAATAATTAGGTAACTAATAATGGTCATATTAGTCCTTATTATACCTTAAACTCTTCTATTTTCACCATCTTTTCTTCACGTGTCTCAAAAACTGTTTCAGGTCTAACCTGGCAAAGAAATAAACCAAGGTAAATCCAGGTATGACAAAATTAGGTTTACAGTTGTGAGTGCATAAAACACGAAGTTTATTTTTGTTATTATCTATTAATTATTATATTATTTTTCCATATGGACCACTGTAGACCTCCTTTTGCCCCACCCATATAACATTTCAAATTAATGCATAAAGATGTGGTTTCTCTGTAACTCAAAGAAAGGCAGCTGAGACTTAAAATATGCCAACCATAGCCCCAGAGGGGTCTTCTCTGCCTTACCCAATTTATAAAGCTCAGAGTTTATATATTGCATTTTTAATTGGACAATTATGGGCCATTAAAACCAACTCTCCCACTACTGTTTTTTAAAATGCACTACTCTTGGTCAAACATTACCATTATACTTTTAAAAAATTAAATGGGTAGTTGTTACCTGTGAAGACACAAGCTTTAAAAAATCTTTTATTTTAAATGATATTCAAAGTGAATTTTTGCTACTATACCTTTCTGATGAGGAGAAGAATAGATGGTAGTGAGAAAATATACTGAATATAAACATTTGCTTGGTTAGCTATTGCTATATTCCTAAATGACAGAAAAAAATGCCCCTTATTGCCACTACTACCTTCTCTAGTGGATTCTGTGACCCCCAAACCCTTGATTTGTTGCTCTTCTTCATGGGGTGGGGTCTGCCAAGGAGGGTCTGAGAATAAGAGTCAGAGAGTCTCGCAGAATAAAATAAAAGAAAGGGACCTCAAGCTCCCTCAAGCAATCAGAAGTGTGGGTTTGGAAGAGAGATGGGGGAGAAAATGGTGAGGCAAGACCAGATGGCTAGAGATGCTAGTATGTAGTCAAGCCACAGCTGACCAGTGGCCAGGGTGATGTCCAATATTCAATTTTAAATGGCATCTTGGTGATATAAACTGTTCCTGTCAATTAACCTTCTTTAATCTCCTTAAACTTACAAATGCAAAGGTGTCATGAGAGTGGACGTTTTTAGTAGAAATCGCAGAGCTGGATTGAATTCAGCATCTGGTTAAACAAAATGTGAACTGGGATGGCAAGTAGAGTACAATGAGACTCAGAAACTGACTTAGGTCAGTGGAAGAAAGAGCTCATTCACAGTGACAACCACAAGAAGATGCTGTGGCATCTGCAGAAACTGTGGGATACACTATAGGCTGCTGCAAAACACAAAATTGGTTTGACCCAATTTTACTTACATCCAAAGGGGCAGAGAGAACCCACCTGACTTCAGCTACCACATGTTAAAGGAACACATTTTGTAATAACATCCATAAAAACTAAAATTAATTGAGTGCCAACTCTGTGTCAGACATTCCACATACATTACTGTTTACTGTTTATTTCTATACACTAACCTACTAACTTCTTCATTCAGATTACCTTAGATTTTTAAATGATAGATAATGTATGCACATATTTTTAAAATAAACTACAAACAGAAAAGTATAGAGTGCAGATTAAACTAGGTTCTGGCCAAGATAGAGGTATAGGTAGAAATCCTTTTCTTCCTCACACAACCAAAAGGATGATAACAACCAATCTAAAATCAATAAATAACTAGAAATGCAAAATCAAACTGCATGCAGCTCCTACAACAAAGGAAATAAACAGTCAACCAGAACAACCAAACTGGTGTGCCAGACAAAGAAATATGGCCCAAATGAAAGAACAGAGCAAAGCCTCAAAAGAGAGCTAAGCGAGGAGGAGATCCCCAACCTATCTGATGGAGAATTTAAAGCCCCGGTCATCAAAAATGCTCACAGAACTGATTGCGCTTGGTCAAAAAATGAAATAACAAATGAAAGATAACCAAAATGAAATAAGGCAAAATATTCAGGGAACAGACAGTGACAAGAAGAAAACCAGGACTCAAAGCAACAATTTGGAACAAAAAGAAGAAATAAACATTTAACTGGAACAGAATGAAAAAATGAGAATCCAAAAATATGAAGCGAGGCTGAGGAATCACTGGGACAACCTGAAGCATTCCAATATCTGAATTATAGGGGCACCAGAAGGAAAAGAACAACAGCAAGAAATTGAAAACTTATTTGAACAAATAATGAAGGAAAAATTCCTCAGTGTGGTGAAGGAAATAGACTTCCAGAAAGCCCAGGAAATCCAGAGAGTCCCAAAGAAGTTGGACCCAAGGAGGAACACGCCAAGGCACATCATCATTAAATAACCCAAGATTGAAGAGAAAGAGAGAATGCAAAAAGAAGCAAGGGGGAAGGAGAGAGTTACCTACAAAAAAGAGCCCGTAAGACTATCAGCTGCTTTTTTGAAAGAAGCCTTGCAGGAAAGAAGCAGCTGGAAAGTATTCAAAGTCATAAAAGGCAAGAACCTCTAATCAAGATTACTCTGCCCAGCAAAGCTATCATTTAGAATGGAAGGACAGATAAAGTGCTTCTCAGATAAGGTTAAGTTAAAGGAGTTCATCACCATCAAGCCCCTATCATATGAAATGTTAAAGGGCTTTATCTAAGAAATAGAAGATCATAAATATGAACAATAAGATGACAACAAACTCATAATTATGAACTGAACCTAAAAAACAAAAACTAAGTGAACAAATAGAAGAGTAATAGAATCACAGAAATGAAGATCACATGGAGGGTTATCAGTGGGTAGGGGAAGTGGGGAGAATGGAGTGAAAAGGTACAGGGAATAAGAATCACAATTGGTAGGTATAAAATAGTCAGGGGGATGTTAAGAATAGTATAGGAAATAGAGAAGCCAAAGAACTTATATGTACAACCCATGGACATGAATCAAGTGGAGGGCTGGAGGGGGTGGAGCAGTGGGGTGCAGGGTGGAGAGGGGAAAAAGGGGAAAAGATTGGGACAACTGTAATAGCATAATCAATAAAATATACTTAAAAAACAATAGTCAGTACTGATTTGGGCTCCCCACAAATAAATGTTAAAATTTTAGAGCATTTACATTATTTTCCACCCTCTCTGAACTCTCACATGACTGATTTTTTTATTCACAGATGTTGTTGCCTTTATTATGATTTCAGTATATGTAAACTACTATACTTGATATGTAAACTCTTTGCCATGAAAAATGGAATTTTTTTTTAAAAAGGCTTTATGTATTTGTTTTTAAAGACAGGGCAAAGAAGGGAGAAAGAGAGGAAGAGGACCATTGATGTGAGAGAGAAAAGGTGATCATTTGCCTCTCTAACATGATTGGACCAAGGACTGAACCTGCAACTCAAGCATGTGCCCTGACCAGGAATCAGTCTGGTAACCTTTTGCTTTGTGGGGGGATGCGCAATCACCTAAATCACATTGCTCAGAGTGAAAAATGGGAAATTTACTTAGTCTTGTATGCTTTCCAAAATCTTCCCTCAACCAACTTCCAAGTTTTTAGAAGGAATGTTATTTTTATACGGTCAATATCTATAGCATTGTTCTCTAACTATAAATAGGTCCTCCATGCATTATCCACACATTGATTCTAAAAACAGGAATCCAGTAAATAACATTAACAATGCCTTATGTAAATATTATTTACTATAGGACCAAATAATAAAACTAACCATAAAGAAGAATATGTAAACCCTTTACTAAAGTTTGCCACTGAAAGAACTCTTTCAAGTTTTTTTTTAATGTTTCGACTTTTAATTTTTTTCTAGCTTTCCTCATTTTTGAGTTACCTAGTTTCTCCTTTTATTGTGTCCACATTATCATGCATATTTTTTGTATACTCAGTTAAGACTTTAGCTGGATATAAGAATTAGGGTTTAAACATTTTTTTCCTTTTGAACACATTGCTTTATATCTTTTAACTTTTCTCATAAATTCTGTCTGTTTTTTTGCACTACTTCTAAGAGACATTTTTTCTTTGTCTTTCATATTATTACTTAGATCTTCAGCTGTGTCAGTTTTATTTTTCAACATGTTCATTGCTATTTTTTAAAATTTGTTATTTCCAAGAAATTATTCTTTCCCTCAGATTGTTTCTTTTTCATAGCAGCTTGCTTACTGGACAAAAGTTTTTCTTTAATGTTTTCCAAAATATGTTTATTTTAAAAATGTCTCCTAAAGTCTGTGCCTGTTTCCTAAATTAATTGTTTCCTACAGGGCCAATGGCTTTGTTTGTGGTTTTTTTGTTGTTCTTCTTTCACTTGCTAAATTCCTGCTATGTATCAGGAAATGTTCTAAGCATTGAAGATACAACAGAAAATAAAACAGGGCTAAAGTAGAGAAGA